CTGTGAGAAAAGAGTCAGAGACACCGTCATCGTCTAACGAGATCATGGGACCAGTTTGATCCCTAGTATTCTGGCACGCCTGTGAGGGTGATCAGGCCAATCTAGCTTTCTTGACCGGTGTTTTCTTGGCTTTCGTGGATTTTTCTGCAGTCTTAGAGAGACGATCTGACACCCGACGCCGACATTTATGCAGGTACAGTTTGAAGGATTCATCTGGTAGATCGGAGCAGAGCTCGCAACGCTCTAAAAAACTGCATAATCCACGACAATCCGAACATTGGGCATGAGGGTCAGACGGAGAGAAAACACGTCGGCACAATTATGATCCATTATGATGAATAACTATCCAAAACAGTGATATAAGTAAATTTGCAGGCAATTAGAAGACAAAAATATGAAGATCGCTTGCAAGCCAAAAGAAAAACCCAAAATGGATTCCTGTAATAACAACACGTCACCACTGCGTGGCGATTTGAAAGAGAATGAGTTGACTGGGATAGACACGTGATCAGTGCAAGAAGGTCAACCAGCATGCATAGCGCACATGACCCAGATCTGGGAGGTAACCGTGACGATGTGAAGTATGACAGGGTTAATTAACTTTAGAAGCTGGAAACTTTTATTTCAGATACGTTTCCACTCAGAATCGAAAGAAGAAAGAGAAATGCACAGTGTGAGATAGGATAAGTTTAAAAATTAACATTCACTAAAACAATCAGTGAATATTTTCAGGACAACGTACATATCAATAGCACACGTCAGTGACGTCACGGGTACTCTGTCGGAAGCAGGGGTCAACTGTTGTCGGTATCGAGTGTGTCCTTGTGCTCTAAGGCACGCTTGCAGTCTGCGAGGCATGGAAAGGCACAGACGTTTCACAAGACTTCATGGGGTGGCTCGCCAGTGATCCTGTAGGGCCTGCGTCTGCAGGGCAGCAGTTTGCTGCGTGGGTTGGTCAGTCGCACACGTCGGAATTCCTCCCACGGATGTTCAATGGGGTTCATGTCTGGAGACATGGCTGGCCAATCCATGACACGGATGTTGTTGCGACACATGAAGTCCTGTGTCAACCTTGCTGTGTGATGGCTTGCATTGTCCTGCTGAAAAACAAGTTGTCATTTGGTGCCACTTGTAAGTAGCGACAGAGATCTGGTCGCAGAACGTTGTCGTTGTATCGCTGAGCGTTGAGGCTTCCAATGATAACCACTATAACAGACCGGAAGTTGGCATTAATTGCACCCAAAACCACAATTTCACCTCCTCCACAACGATCTCTCTCGGGAATACAGACATTTGTAATTCCGACAACGACCATATATCGAGTTGAGACGGAATTCATCTGAAAAACTGACGTCACGCCACGGTGTGTTCCGGGTGTTGCCCATTGTCGTTCGGCAAGTCTGTGACGCTGCAACATGATCTGACCGTGGTGGGGTAGACAACATCGTATCCCATGGGCAATGAGACGTCTTCGACCAGTTTGAAGACTGATGTGGCGCCGTCTTGCCCCGATGATCTGTGCAGTGTTTGTGGCCGTTCGTTACAGAAGTTGCACCTGGTCGAGGACGACCGGTAACTTTTCCAGTCACGTTGAATCCGCGTGTTAGTCGACTGATAATGGCTGGATGCACCTTAAAATGTCGTGCCACGCACAGCTGGGCACTTCCGGTATAAAACATTCCTGTAGCCTAGTTCCTATCGGAGTTCGTCAGTTGTGACATTGTTGTGCTCTGAATGAGATGATGGGATGGGTGTGCATGTCACGGGCCTGGCTACAGGTAGCGCACGCGCACAACATCCATATATCATGGTGCGTTCGCGAGAGGTGACCCATGTTGTGTTGTAAGCATTCATGGTCATGAACGAGAGTTGACTTTGGGTTCAAACTTGGAGTGTGTCAGGATCGAATCCTTTCACACACTGCACCTCTGTCATTTACCAATCCGTTCCTCAGACAACTGATTATATGATAATGTGCATAAAACATTGATTGCGCTATTAACGGCATGACCAGTATACGTTACACAGACTATACAAAGATGAGAGTTTGTACGAATAAAGTCGCGATCGGGTCATCCAAGCGCTTTGTTTCAAGTATATGTTTAACATTACTTAGTCCTGCTATAGATGTATATGACACGGCCCAGCAGTCCAAAATTAATCCTTTTGCTTAGTCACATGCAACCGGTTAAACTTACACCCAGACAGCATTGAAACCTCGTTAGCTCGAGCTTCGATGACTAGCCTTTAAGGCGATAGAACTGCGTGGTCATGGCTGAACTTGTTATTAATACATATACACCCTGCTTGTCCCGAACTACGGCGATATACTTCGCATGACCTTGAAATAACCTGGTTATAATCATTCTTGTGTACATAATAGATTTTGAAATAAGATTAACACCAGCTAACCGAATCACAAAGTTAACGCCTGTATACGCAGTGAATAGCAGACAACATATACTATGGTGGGATTGTATAGACCAAAACCCACAAGCTACCTGAACTACAAAATAAATGCTTATATTATATACATAGCGAATAACAGTAGTAAGTAAGATACTGTGGTGGGATGGTACAGACGCCCACCAGCTATACCCCGTACCCGTAGTGCGGGCTCGCGACAGTCTAAATATAAGTGGCACGCCCTCGACCGTACATTTGAGATCGTGTAATTCCAACTTGAGGCGAGGGCACCGTGTTTGCAATGGTAGACTGACAATCAACGACGTGTGTTAGGGGCGCGAGGCGCTGCCGTGTTACTGTGACATAACCTGTCTTGTACATATACAGCGACACACATAGGTCGATAGGACAGCCTGTGAACAATGATAACAGCTGATCCAAATACAGGTCACTAGGTCGAACAGCGGTATAGACAGAAACTACATCGCCAAATATACGTATAAAGAATTAGAATTGTACTTTAAAACATACAGACACACAATTGAACTGTGCTGAAGTGATCTGAAATGTATATATATAATATTATAGGGGCAGCTGTCACTCCAGGCAAGCCAATCTAAACTCCTCCATTGGGTACGTACGTATAGATTGTCTAACACGAAATGAGTAATGTGTACCCGAGTGTTTGGCTGCAATGTGCATGATATATAGGCTTAATTGCAGTATATTATACAGACCATAAGCAGGTACATATATAAGCATTACTTCCGTGGGATTGTACACACACACACACACACACACACACACACACACACACACACACACACACACACACACACACATATATATATATATTAACCACACATGCAGGTGGTGGGGGTGTTTGTTGGATGACCGTTTGTTGTTCGACAATTAAGTATCAAAGAGGGAGCGGGGTATATTAATGTTTCCGCATGAACGAGTAATTAGGTACCTTTCGATAAGTCAATTAAGGTTATCCGTAGCCGGTGTTCAACGCAAACAAACTCCCCAAATACACTATCAATAGTAGTAATCAGTTTGCCCTGTTTGTGGTTGATAATGCTGCCTGTTTAGCCACAGATTAGGAAAAAACACTGCAGTAGGTTTACAAGTGCACTTATATATAATATTAAAGACAGCAAATAGCCTCCGAATACGCCACTGTCTAAGCATGTAACTTCATCCAGCCATGTAGGCTATTTATTTTTCAACAGTTTATTATCTTTTTTTTATCATTATTTTCTAAATATGGACTTTGGGGAAAGTGTTTAGCATGTGCATGGATTAATGGATGCTATGGGAGAGTGTGTTCTATTTTTTTACTCCATTTTAACTATGTACAAATACTTATATGTATCATGTCGAAGTGTTATCCCCGTTTATTGATGTACCTGATCATTATTACTGAACGTAGATACAATGCCAAGTCACTGAATCGAATAGTAATTGTAAATGAAGAAAGAAACGTATACTGGATACTTTTTCTCACTGAAAAGCATTAAACTGTGACGCTCAATCTCGTCTCGCTTTGAAAAACATGTGCTTCTATTTGGGTCGATTGAACGTGATATACGCTTGAACGCTGTGTTGTGTAACTTAGCGCAACCGAGCCTCGCCCATCTCAAATTTACCAGTCAAGTTAAACAACTTACTGGGTTCGTAACCCGTAGCGACCCTATGCAGTAAGTTAGTGTGCATTTTAGATACTACTCTCCTTACGGCAAGTTATTGCTTGTGAAATATGATAGACCTTCATACGAAGAACCGAAAATTTGAAAAGTGATATCAATGAGTCATTGTAATCATACAAAAAATAAAGAGTACTTCGATATAAAGAAAGGTACTAAATAAAATACAAACACAAAGATAATCAATTTAGGCACCAATTTTGACTAATATTGGTTGGCACCAATAATGCTTTCACACAATGCAGCACACTACGTTATATGGAAAGAATATGTATTCAATGTAAAACTACAACTAAACTGTAAATTATGTGATTCATTATAATAAATAACGTTTTGTCCCGTAATTTGTACCTGCATGTCATCACTTTTTTTCTATAAAGGTGAAGTGTATAAATATCTTTCCTCTATTTCTTGTTGGTTTTTTTATAACAAAACAGTAGTCACGACTTTAAAATCTTATTTGCAAAATTCTGACTTGATTTATAAGAAATACTCACATTCATACATACACTTGACATTGATTATTATTCATCGGAGCTACTCTCTGTTATGATATAGATTAACTTCAAAATCAAGTTTGAAATGTGCTTGCAATATATGTCTCCGCATTAACTGTAGTATCAGTATTAATTGTAGTATTTTTTGTAAATACATATATTGTAAAATACAAAATATTGACTGTTTTTTTATTGATAAGATAACCAAAATAAAACTAACTATCAACAACATTTATTTAAGGACATACCTGACATACAAAAAAGTCTTTTCGCAACGTTTTCCCCAGGTCAAAATGACTAAGTCAATAGTGCAATATGACACATAACAACCGTGACGTCACTGCAATTTTCCGGTTGAAGAGTGTTGTTAGGAAGCTACTATATGATCCTACCTTGTTCCCACAATGCACCGCGAAGTCTTTGTGTTGGTGTTCCACCATATCTGACAGACGACGAATACACAAACGATGAAAAATGGAAAATCGTGAGGGTTTACCACACTAGACGATTGTAGTTCTCTTTATCAGTCACTTTATACTCAAAGTACAATATGTCTAGCGCTAAAACAGAGTTTCATGTCGCCGGGAAATACCGACTTGTTAGAAAAATCGGTAGTGGATCTTTCGGTGACATCTATCTTGCCATCAACATTTCAAGTGGAGAGGTGAGTTTATGGGCGCTGTTGGATTACAGTTTCACATCTACCTTTGACCATATTAACATGGATAAAACCACAAAAGTATGAATATAGATATCGAACGTATGGTATACGAGAAAAAGGTATTTGTGTGTCATATAGTCGATGATTTGAGAACCACCATCATGTGAAAATTCATTCATATGTTGTTGACAGCTGATTTCATACAAACGTCACAGAATGTGCCCACACAAAGTGGTGAAAATAGGTGAATTCGAAATATGTAGAATGAACACACATGTCATTGTCATTTTCAAATGATCTCAACTGAAAGGTAACCTATGACACTACTACCAATAGACTGAGACCCATATGTTGAATAAATCTGGTTCTACTTCTAGCTGTCAAAGGCCCAATAGGCTTTTCACATATGCATGGTGGTTCTTATAGGCTAGTTGTCTGAATTGGTAGAATGTTATATGGATTAATGTATATACAATCATGACAATATTGGGGGGGGGGGGGGGGGTGATCATGCCATGTTTAAATTCTGTTGGCAAGGAGTTATGAATCAATTTACTTACACTTAGTCTTTAGGTTATAGGTTGAAAATGTAGTAGAAAATACATTTCAGGTCTCATATATTTCTAATTTATGGCAAGTTTTCAGGTAATTAACAAGTGATTGTATCAAACTAAAATAATAAGACATCATTAGAAATAAGACCTTGCTCATCAATTGTGTTGGCCAGTTATCCTTTCAAGCTTCAGAGGGTTAGCATGCATAACTTGTTAATGAAGATGATGTGAGGGAGGGGGAGCAATTTTCCCATCTGGTTTGATAAGTATTACAGAAAGCTTATTTTTAACATTTGAGTGAAAATATGTCTGGTTTCATTTTCAGTTGTACCCTGTGCATTTTGGCCTGTTTAGTAGATTTTCAATTTGATTTATTGCTGTTCGGGGATGGAAATAAGCACTAGCCCGGACCATTTTGGTGATGTTATAAGTATTCTAAGGGCATGTAGACTTGCTATATGTGATCACTTTTCGGTATAGTTGACATTTTTGGTTAATTTTCCATAGCTGTTATTATCATTATTATCATTTTAGTGAAATACTAAAATGCACAACAGTAACTTGAAATACCAAGGTTATGTTCTAATTTAAGGATGAAAGCTACGGAGTTGCTGACTGGCACTAGCCCATTAACATCGGTCATTTTGTCTGACTTTGGTGGTATCCCTAATAGAATTTCAGGCTCTTGTCCTTTTAGTTATCACTATTCCAATGTATTCTGCATAGTTAACATTTTAGGTAAAGTTCTTATCATGTTTGTCATGATCCCAAGCATTAGATAAGAATTTTGTGGTCCTTATATATAATTTAATACATTACCAGAAAACTACAAAAAGGCCCTTGTATTACTATATCTATAACACCAATATACATGTATAACCTAATCAGTGTTCAAAATTAAGAAAGAAAATGAATGCGTCCTTGTCATAACTCTCAGCAGATGATAATAAAATCGATCGCCCAAACGCATCACGGCAACGGCCATGGTAACCCAATGCAAGTGAGTTCCGTGCAAATTGAAATGCACATGCGTTCCCCCATTTCTTGCCCTATAAAAATCCACCCAGATCGGATAACATTCATTCGTTATTGAATTGCTACCACATGCCAAGATTGACAAGAAATCAGCGACACCAAGCCCTTGGACGATTGCAAGCTGGACAAACCGCCCTGCAAGTGGCCAATGCATTTCAAGTCCTTGTAAGGATCATTCATATACAGGCTCCAGCAACGGTACCAGACCACCAACACTACAGATGACCGACCACGTGATGGAAGACCAAGGGTCCCCCCTCCCCCGACGTCAGGATCGTCAGATTGTGCGACTGCATGTTCAAGATCGCTTTGTTACTGCTGCGGAAACTGCTCGACAGACCATGGGGACACACCAGCGACACATTAGAGCAGACACCTCCACTGTGACAGGCCACACCAAGGACCCGTTCTGACACGACACCGGGGCAACAGTGGGCAACACAGCACCAGCATTGGTGCCACCAGCAGTGGAAGGAGTTCTCTTCTCAGATGAGCCGTTACTGTATCTCAACAGGAGATGGCAGAGCGAGAGTCTAGTGACGCCTTGAGGAACGTTATTTGGATTCGGGGTGGTCCGAGCATCATAGTGTGGGGTGGAATTGGTCTTGCACAGAGGTACGGTCCTGTGATCTTCCAGAACATGGGTCCAAGGAGAGGCAATGGTGTCTTGAGACCACATGCCATACCTCATTTGGCATGTCGCCACAAAGACGTTTCAGCATGATAACGCCCATGCTCACACTGCAAGAGCAACAAGAGACTTCCTCCAGCAGAATGGCATCAGAACCATGCAGTAGCCTGCCCTCAGTCCCGATTTAAATCCCATAGAGCACCTGTGGGACTAGATTCAAAGATGGCCAAATGACGTCTGACCAAAGCCGACAACCGTCGGGCGTTCCTCAGAGTATGGGCTCAAGTGCCTATGGCCTTTATCAACTGCCTCATCCATTCCATGTATCAACGTTGCACAGCAGTCATCACTGCACATGGCGGACACACAAGATACTGACTTCTGACGCCATTTTCTCAGAGACAAGTGTCGTGTTTCACTTTAAGAACATTTGACACTTTAATTTCAACCTTGATAATCAGTTTTGCCAAGTTTCATCTTTTTAATATGTCTCAAAGTATGTTTACAGTGTTTGGACAAATAAGGTTTCCTATATATCTACCCATGGTGATGTTTCTTTTGCAGTTCAGTATATATGGACAGCCATTTGTTACTGTCTGACTGAGTTTCGACATACCCCTCCCATACATGTTTCATTGGGAATTGTAACAAGTCACTGAATTATCTCAATCTCTGTATCTATGCATACAGGTTTCATGATGTAGCTTTTGTTTTCTTTTGTTTGGATGATGTGAGGCAACCTGTCACATACAACTTGATGTGATTTGATCAGTGATGATGTTGTCTACATCGAAATCTGTTAATATTGTTCCTGGTGCACTACAGTTTTTGCAAACTAATATTGTATATCAACAACTTCATATCACAGTACCATAGTGTTACATTGTGTTTCTATCAGTACTCTTTCTTATTTTTGATTAAGAATGAACAGTAACGTCAAATGTGCATATGAACATGTTATTGTTATCTGTAGATTGCTTCATTAATAGAGTTCTCTCGTCTATGCAATGAGACTCAATTTCCATTTACTAATACGTTCTCTATTAATTGGAGGTGAAGTAATCTGGTGGTTAGAGCATTGACTACCACACATGGGTAGTCTCACAAGTCTGTCTCACAGTCCCTGGACCACATTATTTTACCTTCGACCCAGCCCTTACTGCAGTGTTATAACTCTATATCAAGCTTACCAATGAAAACTGACAGTGCAATGTTGTGGGGATCAACAAGCAGTGAGTAAATTTGCATCTATACAGTGGTAATATAGAATATTCTACATGTGTATTATTATACATGTTATACTAGCACTGTAAGATGTAAATACTTAAGAATTGACTTTCACTTTGTGAGTTCATTGGAGCATGTTCATAGAGTGAGGGCCAAACTGTATGAACATCAGAGCTTGCTACAGGCAAAAACAAACACATGCATATTTCTATCAAGTTTGTTTAGCAAGCACTTTCCAGGTATATTAATCAAGTATGTATTTCTTTCAAACTCAATAAACATTCAGATGTTTAAATTCGTAAAGTTTTTGTTAAGATCCAAAAGATATATATACACAATAAGGTTCATTAACAATTATGCTTGCATAATGCGTATTCCGTAAACATTGCTGAAAAGAGCTTGTGTCCAAACTGTACTGAAATTGATCAATCATGAGAGTCAAGTTAGAGCTAGGCTGTCTAGTTTATATTAACGGTGACAGGATACATCAGTGCATCATGAGTTTACATGATACAAGATACATTTTTTTCTGTATTGATACAAGACGATATACACTTGGTAAAATAAATCACTTCCAACTGGTTTCACATCAGGTAACTAATCTCTAAATGTAAATGGACCAATCTGCACATTGAAATTTATAAAGATCTCATTAAAATCAGATCTAAGTTCTTGCTACTGCTAAACAAAGATCTGAAGAGATCCTATTATGAGTCACGTCTAAGATCTGATTTTACAGAGATTGATATCTTTAAGAGGGTTTTGAGGCTGTTGTATCAATGAATGCATGATTTAGTGATTTGAACTTCTTTGTTATGTTTTCAGTGTGATGTTTTTTGGTACCTTTTTTTTGGTTACTGTTGATCTTTGTGTAATGTAATATTAGGTATATGACCAATTAACCATTTCCTGTCCAGTTGATCACTTGCATGATAACATTATGAAGGTGCTAGCACCTCTACTGAAACATCACTATGAAATAATAAGGAAAAAGAAATCAAAATGTCAGCCCTGTTTTCATTAATACTAAGATGAAATAGCCTAGTGAAAAGGTTTTAAAATTGTGACAACTCTAGGGCATTTCCTGAAATTACTAAACATCTAAGACCTGTAGTGATGTCCAGCTGTTTGTGTAGACGTGATGTATATAGGAGAGGGTTGTCAGTATTTCAGTCAGAACCCCTCATTTCTCCCCAGTTCTGAATGGGTGAGACAGATAATATGTCACTGTCGACATGATTGGTCAGTCCCACTGCCAGTAAGGAGCTTTTGTGTCATTTGTATTCTGTTTGCTACAGGGGAAATTGATGCTGATAAGCAGACAGAACATCTTTGTGTTGTTACCTTGCTGAATGGAAAGTAAACAACCTTTTTTGAATAATTCTGAAGGATGTAGGTTCTTGGCTGTCTCCATGGTCTCCCCTTCAAGGCAACATCTTCCTCTATGAATAATCTAGACTGTGATCTGCTGTCTGACAGGTTTATGCAGAATAGCTAAATAGACACCCACTGCTAACATCTTGCAGTTAGATGATGTCATGGTGGATTGTTTGTTTTTTAGCTCATGATCCCAGTTGAAGCCTTTGACACAGGCATGGTTAGTTAGGCCCAGATTGAATCCCATTTTGTTTTTGCAGCAAAATACTTAAACAGTGACTAATTACAGTGTGGTTCTGGTGTTCTTGAATTCTCCTGTAATATTTGTATCTAGGGACCCCTAAATATTTATCTTTTAACATAAGGGTTCTAACAAGGACCTCTTGACTTTCATGCCTAATTTTGAACACTGCATTAGGTATGACACCATGACCAAGGTAAAATACTCCTACTTATTTAGATTAAACTGTGTTGTGGAGCTTTAGGGAATAATACTATCACAACTGCCTCCTGTAAACTAAAGAGAGAGTTACTGCTGGCTAATCCAGTGAGTTTATCCTGTAGACATTGGACATTATTTACATTTGATAAACTAAATAAGAACCATGCACTTAACATGCTTAAAGGAAGCTCTGTAGCTCACTTATATTTAAAATAATTATATCTCTAATAAAGATGCAGAGGCTCTTCACTTGCCTGTCCCTTATTTAGCATATCAGCCTAAGTAATGGAGACCATATAAAACTGGTGTTTTTTTCATACATGATGCATGTTTAAAGTAAGAACTAAGGGTTCATATCCAACAGTTGTCATGAAATTCTTCTTGTTTCCAGGAAGTGGCTGCTAAATTGGAAGCAAATAAAGCCAGACATCCACAGTTGTTGTATGAAAGTAAGCTATATAAAATATTACAAGGTGGCGCTGGTATACCACATGTAAGGTAAGTGTCAATGTATTCTTTGCTCTTCCAACTTAACACTGATGTCATGATGTTCCCCAAATGATCAGTAACTGGTATTTCATCTGGGATATCTGGGACCACCCCGTAATTTCTATTACCGTATATCGCTGTGTATAAGGCGAGTTTTTCGTACCTAAAATGAGGGGGGTAAGAAGGGGGGTCGTCTTATACACGGAGTCGAAGATCTCACATTTTTTTCCACTGGCGATGTCAACCGGCGTCCGATAGCCAGCCCAGCATTTGACAATAAAACTTCGCATTTCGTCCTAAATAACTGTTCCAATAACTATTTCCATACATAAACATGATTTGTATCTCTTTTCATTGAATAAAGTTTAATAATTTCTGCAAATAAAGTTGAAATGACCCTCGCCTCGATGCAGATTGTCAAACCACCTGACACGGTAAAACTATCAACATCCGTGAGCAGAGAGCCGGAAGTACCGGTAAGCATTTGCATATTGCACATGTGACCTAACATGTGATAACCGGTGAAGCTGAAATCAATTCCCGCTGTTTTTACAGTTGTATTAACAAGTGTTGGAGACGGTGTGTACAAGTGAATGTGAAGCAAACATAAGCCTAGTTAGTTACAACATAGTTAATTGGCGATTAAATTACTCACCGTTGTCTCTTATATGTTATTACTTCATAAATGAATTTTATTTTACGGGCACCAATTTGGTGTCGTACCGTGTAAACACAAAATGGCGACGTGTGCTGGAGTTACACACACGACCTATCATTGTAGAAAAAAAACAACACAAGATAAACATATTTTTATTGCATATATAAGGTTTGTGTGCGAAATACGCATCAGTCGGAAAGCACATGTTAAATCTCCAAAGTAACTAACTAACTTGTGATGTCCGTGTGCGAAATATGCTACAGTCGGAAAGCGCATGTTAAATCTTCTATATCAGTCAGACTTGTGATGTGTTTCATTCCCGGTCGCCTTATACACGGAGTATAGGATTTTGGGTTGATTTTTAAGGCGTGTACAGGGGGGTCGTCTTATACGTGGGGTCGCCTTATACACAGCGATATACGGTACTAGTATTAGTGCGCCTAGTATTTGTGAAGTGCGATGAAATGGGGTTTAACTTCTTGTTCAAGAATATTGCACTTATATCATGACATGTGTATGGATCTGAATGTCTGCCAGTTTTATAGTGCTACCTGATTGATATTGCAATATTTTGTTTAACATGGATACCACACTAATCCACGTTATGCTGACTCAGAGCAGAACTAGTCCTTGTTTTATCTCTTTAACTCTTTCAACACGAGTCAGCCAGAAGTGTTTACTGCTGTAACACCGAGTTCCCAGAGACTCTTTTGTGATAGATGAAGCCAACATTTATCAAAGAAAATATCTGCTTCTAAAACATCTTTGCTACTATATGTTATACACCATTTGAAAGGTCTGATCCTATTGTATGAAAGTCATGTTTATCACATTATTTAAATAATGCATTTACAGCTTAATTAAGTGCGTTGTAAATAAAAAATGTAAGCTAACACATTGATAACATCAAGGTAAAAAGCCCAAGGAAGCAAAAATTTGATGATTTTCAGCAAATATAAGATTTCATAAAATCCACTTACCTATTTCTTTTTTATTTTCATTGTTTACGTAATTGGAAAAGCATTTTGGAAAGAATTATGAATAGTAACTGTCATCACCCATTTCCCGATAATAGCAGCTGTCTGCTCAGTAACATGAAGAAATACCCTGGAGTACATTGCCTGGAGTCTTTTCGTAGTTATAACACGCCATTTCATTGCTTATAAATTGGTTTCTCATGGCGCTTTCTTGTCAAAATCTGCTATAAGGTTCATGATTGGTCTAATTTGAGCATGTGACCTAAGGCAGCCAATTAAATTACAGCTATGGTAATATCCTTGTGTACGATGAATTTCAGATTTTGACAAGAGATTTTTGTTAAATTGTGCTATTCTGAGCGCTTTAAGCAGGAAATCACGATCTATATCTAAGATATGGAGCTTCATGGATGTATCGTGCTAGGTTATGAACTATGACAAAGATTTTTCATGCATATATTTTGGCATCAAACATTGTGTCCGAGCCGAGAATTCGATCACAATCACGCGAAAAGATGGAAATAATAACTTAGCTCTAATTTGTTGATTTTACTTATTACTTTGAATAATATATTTAAATATTTGTTTGAAACACCTTATTTTGCTGTTTGACATGTTCGAAGTGGACCCGTTGTCGAAGTGTATGTCCGAGATTTTTGTTTTAAATAACATTTTGCGGGGAATAGTGAATAATTTTTTAATCTATCGATAAAAAAATCTAAATTGAAATGGAATACTTATTTCAGACATTGTGAAATGTGAATAAATGAGTGATATGACTGGTAGGTTTAAAATATTATATACTATTTTGACATGACTGCGGCTTGGCCGGTTTACCGGGCTACCGTGTTGAAAGAGTTAGCTAAATGATATGGAAGATTTCATTGAACATGGAGAACCCACTCATGTTATGCTGGGGTGGGGGGTTTGTGTGTGGGAGGGGAGTACATCATGGATATCTTAGTCACTTTTGGATCTACTATGATTCCAGGTTATTTTTGTCCCTTGATATATTTGGAAAGGAGAGGGTAACTTCCAGAATTGGCAGAAATATAATATGTTTTGCATCTCCAAGCTTGTGAGAACAGTCCAAAACTGAAAAATTTAGAGTGTTGCCTTAGGGTTTTACATGATATAGAATTGTGATCCAGTATGCACAAGCGTATAGACATGATAGAATGCTTCCCTCAAGACATTCATCACAGTACTAAACTCTTGACAAGAAATATAATGGACCAGTACTTATCAAATCCTACTGTACAGTACAGTACAGTATGGCACTCCACGCTATACCATTTTACTTCTGTACTGGCTCCTCATATTTTCTCTAAGGACCCATGAAATTAATTATTGGGGGTATCCAGGACCCCAGTTTTATAAGGCAAGGTAAAACCCTGTTACCTAGATTAGAATATCATTGTAGCAAACAAGGATCCCAGGACTGATCCTCAGAAAGATGATGGATGTCTTACTTTGATGTCACACAAGTCCAAGAATAGGTGAAATACTGATAGTCACTCGCTTTTGTCTGACCTCATGTAGAACTAGTTTTAGACAGTCACTACCAGGGTGTCTGCTTTATATTCACACCATGTTGTACCATGATTTATGAAAATTAATGAATTGAATTTCAAACACCAGTGATTGCTTTAACTTGCAGAATAAGTGGACACGAAAAAAGGTCCTTAAAATTAGGAACCAAACCAAGTCTTGACAGACAATATGTACATCTTTGGTGCAAATGTACCATGTGTCTATGTAATATGTTTCTATTTTTCATAGGATCCTGATTGGCTGAATAAAAGCTTCTGGTTATGATCGAAAGTAAAGAATATGCCATCTTGAACAAGCGTTGATAAAATGCAGAAATTTGATTATCTGATACTGTTATCACTTGATAAACCAGTTGGTATTGTTAGGTCATTATGTTACATACAGGTAGACATGCAATGTGACAAGATTATCTTTGAGCTAAGGTGTAATAGCTGTACCTTGTCTGTATCTGATGAAGGGTTTCACCTTGACTAATGAAACTGGGGGGTCCTCAGAGGAAATATGAGGGTCCTGTTTCTACCGCTGTACTTCAATATTTGGTAATTATTTTACTCACAGGACCTGCATAATTCTTGTCAAGAATTTGGTATAATGAATATTTTTGTGTGTCCCTTGGGCCGCAACATTATTATTCACTGCATCCATTCTATACATGAATTATGTGTAATGGATGCACATTTTTGGGTTGTGTAAAACCCTGCTGATGTCTTTGTTGCTATAGCAGAATATGCATAAAATGTCTGTGCAACTTTTTGAGGTGTGGAGCTTTAATGCATTTCAACATTTTCAAGACAATTGCTTAAAAGACAATCGCTAAAAAGACAAGAAGTAACTTTTCAAGTTTGTTTTCAAAAACAACTATTGGAAGTGACATTGTTTTGGTACAAATGTATTTGACAGTGATTGATGGCATAGATACCTGGGATTATTGGTTTTATATCTAGCTCTTATATTTCAGTTCAGATAATATAAGAGTATCAAATTGTTATCTGGTAAGTTATTACAAAATGGTCATGAATTATCTGCTTGTCAAAAAATATTTACTTGAACCCTACTTCAAGCAACTGACCTAACAAAAAATCAGTATTCGTTTTTGTCAACTTACCAACTTGTTTTTAATGACAAATTTGTAGTGAAAAATTAGATATTTATAGTAAGAAACATTCCTTCCTTCTAACTTGACAGGGGCGGTCGGGTAGCCTTGTGGTTAAAGCGTTTGCTTGTCACGCTGAAGACCCGGGTTCAAATCCTGACATGGGTACAATGTGTGAAGCCCATTTTTGGTGTCCCCGCCACGATATTGCTGGAGTATTGCTAAAAGCTGCATACAACCAAACTCACTCACTCTAACTTGACAACCTGAAGATGTAAAAAAAGGTGAAATATATGAATTTGAAAGTCACAATCAAGATTATCAATATCATGATTATGGGCTAACTGAAAACAGATAATTTCCATGTCATCAGAACCCTACTTGTCATTCAGATCTAGAAGTAAATGTTTGTAAGTGAATCAAAACCAATATCATTTGATAATTGCTGCAACATAACAGACTCTCAAGATTTGTATCCCTTGCTTATTTGAAAATCATCCAACCTGACCTTCCCATTGAAGGTATTTTATGTTAAGTCTAAAAGTTTAAACAATGTGTAAGGGGCAACTAAATTGTTTTAAAGACAAATTAATTATGTGTGGTCACTAGGGTTGTAACGATATTAACCGATACCTACAATATCATCGATACTTATGTTCATGATACTTGAATCGTCAGTTTGTGAGATCGCGATATCCTATAAATAGAACAGGAACTAATAGAGCTA